TGAGGGCCAGGGTTTGGGGGTGGGATGGCAGGGGTAGGGGAATGGTTGGGCTTGGTGATCTTAAAGGTCTTTTCCACCCTAAACGATTCTATGGTTCTACGATCTACACATCCATTTGCATTGCCATGGAGACATCTCCCATCCTCCTTGACCCTCTGTCCCAGGTGGGTGGTCCTCCAGGTCTCACAAATGACTGAAACCCCTGTCTCCAGCTGCATACCCAACCACCTCACGAACAGATGACCTCATGTGATGGATATGGCAGAGACTGGCCTAACACAGTGGCCTGTCGGTGCCTGCCTCTAAGTTGCCACTGAAGGCCGTGTCTTCTGGAAGCGGTTGCCCTCAGCCAGACGGGATGCCACCACCTGCCTGCACCACCTCTGCATAGGAGACCGGACCCAGGGCTGCGCCGCTGGTGTAGGAGAAGATGCACCACAGCAGGAGGACATGGAAGGACCAAAGGAGTGAATGTCATATGCGGTTTGTGCTGTTCCTTCTAGGTTTTTTCCCTATTGCCTTCTCAACAGCAGTTATATGTTTAGGTGCAGTATGCATGGTCACAGGGAACTTCAACAGAGCTCTTCCCTGTTTTTATTTTTTTGTCTCCTAAACCACCTGGATCCCAATTTATGTGTGCCTTTTTCCCTAATGCACTCCAGCAGAGTTACTTTGATCCTGCCCAGTGGAAGGATGGCCCACAGACCTCAAAATCTGTTTTCTCAAGTGTGTGTCTATTTTTTTTTTTTGCACAAACCCCTTCATTTCTCAATATATTTTTTTTTTTAAGGAGAAAGATTAGTCAAGTGAATTTCCACAACAAGTTTTATTTGGCTCCAAGTTCAACTTTATTGTGGTGGTGCTGCTGATCCTTTTATTTTCCTTCTACGGGGTGGCTGTGACAGGTTGGAGCACCTAATTTGTGCAAGCAGACAGCCCAGAAAAGAAGGAAAATACAACAGCTGGAGAAATCCAGCTCCAGAGGCTGGAATGGTTTCCTTGTGCAGGTTTCTCCAAATCACAGCTAAGAAGGGGCACGGCTCGCTGAGTAAATGTGTGCCCTGTAAAATAAAAGGATTAGGAAACCACTTTATAGCTTGTGAGATTTATGGTTTCAGAACAAATGGCTGTAGTTCACTTGGCCTGCAGCTCTAAAGGAGGCCAAAACAAACTGCTTTAAAGCTTTGCTTCAGAAGGAAGGCTCAGATCCCCCCCTTACGCGGGTCTTTGTAAATGATGGGAATACTGGAAAGAGCTTTGTGTGTCCTGCAGCACCTCTGAGCTACCGCTTTATGTTGCCTGAATGCAAATGCAAAGGTAAATTTGTTCCAAATGTCCCAACACAGTGGACATGTCAACCTGGAAAGCCAGTGATGGAGCAGAGTTTTTTTAAAAAAATACATCATGGGAAAGAGCGCAGAGGGAATATGTGATGTGGCCTTTTTTCTGTCTCGCGGAGAAGTACAAGCACACAAAGCATGGCACCGCCTCGCTTGCTTGAGGAGAAGAATTGAAGTTGTTTTGGGATTACAAATAGCTTCAGGGTGGGTGTCACGAGGACGGAGCCAGACTCTTCTCAGTGGTGCCCAGAGCCAGGACAAGGGGCCATGGGCACAAACTGAAGCACAAGAGGTTCCAGTTGGATGGGAGGAAGAACTTGTTGACTGTGAGGGTGCCCGAGCCCTGGCCCAGGCTGCCCAGGGGGGCTGTGGAGTCTCCTTCTCTGGAGATCTTCAACCCCCTCCTGGACGCTGTCCTGTGCCCCCTGCTCTGGGTGAGCCTGCTTGAGCAGGGGGGTTGGGCTGGGTGAGCTCTGGAGGGCCCTTCCAACCCTTGCCATTCTGTGATTAGCAGTGCCAAAAAAGCTTCATTTCATCCCAATTTGTGTCTCCAATGGGAGCTCGCCTGTGTGGATTCTCTGATGTCTGAGAAAGGGTGAGCCCACATGGATCTGTTTCAAGCGAGGGGAACTCGGGGTCTCTGTCTCTCGTAGCTCTGCAGGACCTCTCCTTCTTCCCCATATTTGTATGGAATCAGCCAGTTGGTTCAAAGGTGCTAGTGGAAGGCCTGATAAACTCACACAAGTACCCCAGCACAATCACAGGGATTTTAAAATTGTTTTACTTTCAGAAACTGGGATAAAAACATCAAGTCAAAGAATAGCATACGCAAGGGTATGCAGAACTGTTACTGCCATTTCTGTCTGGCAACTTAGTATATTCTAGCAGACAAACAGGGTAATTAATTTACTTTTTTTCTACTGAAAAGCCAGGTCTATTAGGATTCTTTTTTGCTTTTAAATGCGATACTTAAAATAGATTTGGATAACACGCTAAACTCTAGATGAATAAACTTGATTATCCTCAATAAGCAGCTCAAATTGAATTTATTCTGAAGGATTCAGTCTTCCAGCCCAGTCGCATAAGAACTCGCTCTAGCGTGACCAGAGCGATGCTGGCGTCGGGGTGTTTGCCCCCGCCTGATTGCTTCAGGTTCGTTCTTGACACTGGGAGCCCAAAAGGACTCCCAGGCTGCTGACAACATTTATCAAGCCCAGCTGCCGAGGAAGGATGCTGATTGTAGGCAGCGCGCAGTATGTCATGGAGAAAACATTTCCTTCTGCTGTGCTTTCCAAGTCACTGAGGTCCTTCTGTGCAAACGGAGACAACGCTGAATTCTGCTTGGCAGCCGTCAGCGTGGCCCTACGGGGTCGTCTGCCTACCACAGAGAGCCACCTGCATTTAAATATATTCACCTTCTTTGCATTAAATCTAAATGTGCTCAGGAGCAGTAGGGATCTGCAAGGCAAGCCAGGAAGGGGAGCATCTGTCACCGGCAAATGCGTCCAAATTTTCTAATGAGACTGGTGATTGTGGATGTCGCAGGTTTAAGCTCATTAATTTGCAGCCCATGCCCAAAAGGCTTTCCAGCAGTACCTTCATGGCCACTGCCTTTGAAATCAGGTGCCATTCAAACGTCTTCTTCCATATAATTTCAGATTGCTGAGTACTTCGGCCGTTCTGAGAAATCATGGCACCGAGAGACCATCAAAGGGACTTAAAGATTGTAATAACTGGGTTTACTGGATTAGAAATCAGAATGAAATCTGTGCTTGCTCACCTTTCAGTAAGTGATTGCATGCTTTGGTGCTCATATCTAAATATTTAGACGAATGGGCTGATTTGGAAGGTTCAGAGATCATCTTGAATCTCCCATGCAGATAGCCTGTCCTTTTGAAAGAAAGAAAGAAAGAATATCTGGGACTGACTTTTCATATTATTTAAACAGTGAAAAGCAATAATTTGGGAGCTGGAGTCGATGCCAAGGAGCCTTGTAAAAACCTATGAGTCCCCCACTCTCTGGCCAAGCATTCCCCTCCGCCTTGTGGGTTGACACTGCGAGAGCAAGTCCAGTAATGGTGAGGGAAGAGAAGGAAGAGGCTTCTGGGAACAGAAGCCAAGTCTGTCCTGAGGAAGTATTTAGAGCTTGGTCTGTTGTGGGGTTGAGCTCTTCAGGCTTGCACTGAAATGAAGTATCAAGTGACAAGAGCCACATTACAGCAATAGTACGGAGAAAAAAAATAATCTTCCCAGTTCTGCGAGCTAAGTAGTCACTTTTAGTTTATATCTTCCCCATTCCCTGAAGAGAAAACACACTGGACAACTCCTCCGTTGTTTTTTTCTCTTCTGGGAAACGATGGACATCCTCGGTTTGCAGCATCACTGAAATTGCCCTTCCGTGTAAAACTGCAGCTCGGTGTCTTGCTGCAGGCACTGGCCAGACCCAGCACCACGGGGAAAACTGCAATAAACTCTTCAGGATGTACTACGAGGTGAGATGCCTGCAGCAAAAGCTTTCTCCTGGCCCCTTCCTTCTCCCTAGTAGCTTGAGGTTCAGCCACACACTAAGCCATAGGTATTTATCACCTCCCTTAAGACTCCTATTACTGATTACAGCTCTAGGTAATGTTTTTATCCTTATACAGCTAATCTTTCCTTTGAAGGGTACTGGAATTAACCAGGACCAAGGCATGGACTCATCCCCTGTCCTGAAGTAGTCCAGGCTGTGTAGTTGTGCCTGTTGCCCGGCGTGGTTTTGGCCATGCTCTCCAACTGTTTCCAGGGAGAGCACAGTACTTGGGTTGCTCCCAGCAGGTGGGATGGTTGGTGTTTATTTGGGTGTATGGATGTAGGCTATGCTGTGCAATGCTCTTCCAGGCCAGAAAACAGTCCTTGAATCATCTCATTTACCAGAAGAGATGTGGCCACTAACATTAACCTGCCTCTGAACTGCAGAGACACTCTTTGTCCGCCTGTTCTTGGATTACTGCCTGCCTGCAGAGGAGGACTGTTGGAGTTAGAATCATAGAATCGTTTAGGTTGGAAAAGACCTTTAAGATCATCAAGTCCAACCATTAGTTAGCAGGCTTAGAGACAAGGACTTGATGCGGAAGGCAGCAATGTTCAGGCTGGAAGAAGGTCAGCAGGGTGAGTAATTAGCACTAGAGCAGCTCACTAGAAGACAAGGTGGAGTCTTCATCATGTGAAGGCTTCAGAGTTAAATTAGATATTTTTCTGTAAGATGATGCTCCGTCTGGGTGACAGAGCACTGGAACAGGCTGCCCAGGGAGGTTGTGAAGTCTCCTTCTCTGGAGATATTCAAAGCCCGCCTGGATGAAGTCCTGTGTAGAATGCTCTAGGAGAGCCTGCTTTAGCAGGGGGGTTGGACTGGATGATCTCCTGAGGTCCCTTCCAACCCTTGCCATTCTGTGATTCTGTATTAGTGGAAACAGGGGGGCTGTAGCTCCCCCCAGCCATAGCACAGAATCGTAGAATCGTTTAGGTTGGAAAAGACCTTTAAGATCATCAAGCCCAGCCATTACCCTAACCCTGCCATTCCACCACTAAGCCATGGCCCTAAGCCCTGCCTCATGGGTGCAAGCATGCGGACCACGGGAGAGTGGGTGCTGTTTGCTGCTCTGAGTGCAGGGACCTCGCAATCTGTGTTGAACAGGAGGTCAGGGAGGGGACAACTGCAGCCCCTTCCAGAGGTGAACATCCTCCCCAGCTTCAGTTTGGGTGATATTCCCTTGTCCCTCTGATATAAGTGATCATCTCTCAGTGCAGCCAACACTTGGCGGAGTGTTTTTGTGTTTCCTCTTCTTCAGGTGTGCTTGGAGGTAGAGGAGACTTTGTCTTCTGGATGTGACAAGTCAAAAGGAGAGGGGGAAAAATAACAGTGGCGGGACCAAGGTATTAAACAGAGAACCTATGAACACAGCTGGAAGGTTGTAAATGATTTAAAAATGGTCTTCATCATTTGCTTAATGGATCTGATGTGGACTGTACCAGTAAAAGCAGTGGTTTTCTTTGCAACTTAAAATCTGTCAGGAATCACTGCCAAAGGAAACGTCACTACCGAAAAAAAAAAAATCACTACCAAGCAATCATTACCAAAGTTGAAAGGGTAACTCAAAAAAGCCCCCAAACCCTTGTATTGCCTTCATTTTCCACTGAATCCTCTAAAACTTTTAATGTTTCACAGGTGGTATGGAATCACATCAAATACCTGATCCCAACTGCTCTGGAGATCCCTAAGTGTCTCTTTGGCCCAACCAGTGGGTGATGAGGTGTTTCAGTGTTTCGCTGTTTCACTTTGCAATGCCTAAATGACTTCAGAGCCTACATTT